AAACAAAAGGAAGTGTTTGTTTCTTTTTATGGTAAAGGAATTTTAAAAGGCTGTTATTGTTTTAAGTGATCTAATCAGCAGCTGAAAATTGTATATTACATACATGTAGAATTATTTAAGACAAGCTCAAATCTGAAAACTAAATTTATGTTTTAAGTTTTTAATAGCTTCCTCATAATTCAGTCTTCCAAGGAAATTATATCTTAGTCGAATGCTTATCAAACTTTAATATAAATCATAAATCATTAGGGATATCTTTTCAAAATGCAGGTTTTAAGAGCCAGATGCAGTGATGCAGACTGTAAAGCTAGCACCAGAAGTCTGAAACTTGTGAGTTCAAGGACAGTCTGGACTACATAGTGACTACTTGTCTTTTTGTGAAGAAGAAGAAGAAGAAGAAGAAGAAGAAGGAGAAGCAGAAGCAGAAGCAGCAGCAGCAGCAGCAGCAGCAGCATGGTACTGGTGGCTAATCCTAGCTATGCAGAAGATGGAGAGATCTGAGGATCATAATTCAAGGCCAGCCTAGTCAGAGAAAGAAGTCTGAGAGAGTATGTCCAATTGCTGGACTGGAAGTCCAAGTGGAAGAGCAACACTGAGCATGAGGTCCTGAGTTCAAGTGCTAATGTCAATTTAAAAACAACAACAACAAATGTAGCACCCCAACAAAAGGCCAGATTTTGATTTTGATTCTGTAAGTCTAAAGGACCCTAAGAATATATACTTTTAATCAGGGCTCTGGTAGGTCACATCTGTAATCCTAGCTGCTTAAGAGGCAGTTCAAAGCCAGCTCAGGTAGAAGAGTCCATCAGATTTACCTCCAAATAAACACCAAAAAGCTGAAAATGGATGTGTGGCTCAAGTGGTAGAGAGCCAGCCTTGAGTACAAAAGCTAAGCCCCAGTACTAGCACACACGTGTGTGCACACACACATACTCTCTCACAAAACAATTTCTAACAAGACTACCAGGTAATGCCAATGATATTGATGTTTTAACTTTGAGGAGCAAGACTTAACAGGATTTTACTTACCCTCATTTTTCAGATGAGGAAATTAAGGTCCAGCTGAGATTCAAACCCCTGATTTTCTATCTGTATTACATTTTCCAAAGTTTTTCAACAAAAATCAAAGTCAATAGCATTGATTACCTAAAATAATACAGCAAGTCTAGCAAAGAAAACCATCAAGATTTGTGACCCAAATGAATTAATAACCAGGTCAGAAAGCAGATACTTCCTACAGAATACAGAAAGATCTTTCAAGGTTGGTTTTTGTGTTTTTTTTTGGGGGGGGGGGCGGAGGGGGGAGGTGAGGAGGTGTTGTCTGGTTTGGTTTGCCCATCCTGGGGCTTGACCTCAGGGCCTGGGCACTGCCTCTGAGCTTATTTTTGCTCAAGGCTACCACTCTACCACTTGAGCCACAGCACCCCTTCTAGCTTTTGCTGTTTATGTGGTACTGAGGAATAAAACCCAGGGCTTCATGCATGCTAGGCAAGCACTCTACCACTAAGCCACATTCCCAGCCCTCAAGGTATTTTTCTAAATATCTTTCTTCTACAAGATTAGAACAGTCTTTACCATAATATGAATAACTGTCTCATTTCTTTGGGTACTATAAACTATTAAGGTAAAAATTCTGATCCTATATGTTTATATTTATTGGCAGGCTTGGCTTCTATTCCAAAAAAACAGCAGGGTCCTTTGTTGGGCATCATGGGCCTCCACAATTCAGTCAATTCCATTTCAGTTTGTAACCATTCTGAACTGGGTTGGGGAAGAGAGGTAAACATCTATGCTACTCCAAGAATAAATAAATTTAAAAATACAAAAAAAGGAAAAAAATAGTTGCCATTATTTTGTCATTATTTTAAAAACTGCTATTCTAGTGGATGGGATTCATATGCAGAACACTAAAAATTTTCAACAAGTGCTAAAAACAAAGTCCGGTAACCAGATTCTTCATCAGCATGAACATATTCTTATCATAGAAGCCATTTACACAATCAAAGTGAACTCAAGAAGGCACAGAGTCAGTCTTAAAATATTTTCAATCATCCTATAACCAGAAAACCTCATTAAAAATGGAAAAGCTCTGGAAATATTAGTTACAAGCCACTTTACCTGAAAATTTTAATGTCTAGACTATCTGTTATCCTATCTGAAAGTAACCTTCTAGTACTTGCTTTGAGGTCTACAATCACTATGTCACCAGAGGTGATGGTTTCAGCTCTCAGGAGATTAACACAAGGTTCCCAAGCTTACTGGAGGCACTGGCAGTAAAGTTACTCAAAAAGTTAAACACCTGAATGCTCTAACACACAAACTAACAGTGTTCTTTAGAGCAATTATCCACCACAAGCAGACACCTTATTGTCTTTCTTTTCGAAACTGTGACAGACTAGATTTGTTTTCAAAAGAAACAACTACAAAGTGATTCAGGTTTCCATAAACATAGCTTTAGCCAGGTGTCAACCTAACCAACAGGCAAAGTAAAGCAGCATTAGGTATAAAATCAACAGAATATAACCCCAAAGCCAATGAACAGTTTAATGATCTTCACCCATAATGGTCTTCATCCACAAGAGGATCGTACAGGCCAACATAGTAGCTTGATGTTACTGAGCAGTTAGGCTTCCTTTATCACTCTATAGATACAACTAAAGTCAAATACAGGATACCATTTCACTATCTGAAAGTTTCCTTCTAAGAAGAAACTAGAACATAGATTTGGAGAAATTTCATCTCAGAAGCTTAGCAAAAAGTCCAGTATCCCAGACTACAAGTGTAGCCCAGTGGTAAAATGTTTGCCAAGCACATACAAGCCCTAGGTTTGATACCCAGTACCACAGGGGACAGAAAGAGAGAATGAGGGAAGGAGAGGGTAGTGGAGAGGAGCACAGGGGAGCGAAATGGTAGGGGCAGGGGACAAGGAAGAATCCAATCGTGAGGCCTAATCTCCTCTGGACACATACTATAACAACTAAATATGAAACCCTCCTTTACAAAAATAAATGCAAGATACTAAATCCAAACATATTTAGAATCATTTAGAAAGCATGTTTAACAAAATATTAGCAATAATTCAGTTCCACCATTTTATCAACCTCATAATTCCAGTGATTCTTCTGCCTTCCAGAAACTCACAGTAATAAGGCAAATGTCTCCTAGCTAACGTCCACAAACTAGAAACTGGTCACATACATATCAGATAGTTCACAGCCAGTTCATAGAAGGTCCCACTCATCACCACACTAGCAACTCACTAATACAAATGAAGGCAGTATTTCCTCAAACAAATTGATTCTTGGAAGATGAGGAAGAAGGAGTGAGCTGGGAATCAGGTAAGAAAAGTAATTCCATTCTTTCTGTTATACAGCAGGCACATGATAATTTGCCCTGAACTCATTCCTCACATCCAAAGGGTAGCTCATGTTCTTCCCAATAAGTCTCTTGGGAAGTTTCGAACATTAAAAACCAGATTTCTACTTGATCCACAAGCCACTAAGCCATATCTAAGTCTTTGCAGGATCAAAAGACCAAGAAGCAATCAGGTCAAGCTATAGAATGGCTAGAACTCAAAGGTATATTTGAGGGGGCTGGGAAGGTGGCTCAGTGGTAGAGCGCTTGCCTTGCATGCCTGAGGCCCTGGGTTCGATTCCTCAGCACCACATAAGCAAAGAAAAAAGCCAGAAGTGGCGCTGTGGCTCAAGTGGTAGAGCGCTAGCCTTGAGCTGAAGAGCTGAAGGACAGCGCTCAGGCCCAGAGTTCAGGCCCCATGACTGGACCCAAAAAAAAAAAAAAAAGGTATATTTGACACTTCAGGAGGCTACACCAAATATAAACTACTGTTACTTGAGTAAGTTTTAAGTGAAAGTACAAAAACAGGACCAAGACTTTGACACCTAGTGTGAAATAGGTGTCAAAAAAAAAAGAGTAATAAATTTGATAGACAAATCCATAGATAAGAATATGTGTGAGAGTTTGGGGAGTGGGGGATGTGCGTGCGTGCGTGCGTGCATGCGTGTGCGTGTGTGCGTGTGTGTAGAGTTATGGACACAAAGTCTTTAGTATGATTTGAGGGAAAGAACATCTTTTTTCTTAAACGCTTTTTACCATCAGGTGGTATTGGTCCAAATGAATTTAGGGAAAAAAAAAAGAACACAAAGTGAGTTTGAACAAAAATAAGACATAAGATATTCTAAGGCTATCTGATGGCCTTCCTAATTGTGAAGTACAACATCAAAGTCGTCATGAAATGCTACATTAGGAAGCTTTCCATTGCTACCACTAGGAAGTTGATGACATAAAGAAATCCTTTTGAGAAAGATTACCAAAGATGCTTGAGGAAGGCTACTAAGATTCAGTAGGAAGCAGTAGTAGGTAAATACTGCTCTGGGTAACATTTAACATAGAGGTCAGTGACAAGGAATTAAAAACAAACAAAGAAACAAACAAACCCTATAGATAAAGAATTAATAGAATGTCTAATTACCTAACAGGCCAGGTGTGAGAAGCAAAGCTTTATTAGGAGGGCCAAAGGTGATTTTTTTTATTTTTTGTTTAAATTAAAGCCTAGCTACAAAACAAGAATGATCCCACATACCTGGTCCATTTTAAGGTTCCTTGGGTACTAGCACATTACTACTCTCAGGTCTGGAATTCCCTGTTGATACCCAGTTTGGACTTTCTTTTAATTCTATGCCTTGTTTGCTCTATTGTTTTTGTTTTAAACTAAGAATGCTGTTTTCTAGTCAACCAGTGAAATACACTGAGATTTAGATTTCAGTTTTTACTTCACAGTACTATGTCCCCCAAAAAACACTACTTCTCCACATTTAAACTTTAATTTACATGTACTGTATTTGCTGAGCTACATTTGCAATAAGTGTTTAAAAATACCCTGTAATGAGTGCTATGAGTAGCTAACGAAACTAAACAGGCATTTATTGCTTTAGGGGGAAAGAAGAGAGAGAGATAGGAACAAGTTCCTCAAGACAACTTACAAATCCTCCTTTTCTTAGACAGGAATCGCCCGGGGATGAGCTCAACACATACTCCACCATGCTAACGCCTAGTCCCCCACTCTCCGATCGTGGGGACAGTACAGAATTGACCTCACTGTTCACATGGAAACTCTGACCAGGTCTTCTCTGCACCATGATTGGCTGGGAAACTGAATGATCTACAAAAAAGATACACAAGCATGATACAGTGCAGCCAGAGGCCCAAACAAATTATGAGTGATGTCTCAAGGATAAAGCAATAAGTAGGAATCAGAAGACCTGCCATGGCCAGATGAGCCCAAATTTCCTATTGTGTCTTTCACTAAGTACTGATAGTCTACATAAAGCTAAGAAAAGGAAACACATCCTTCATTTATCAAAGGTAGAGAAATACAATAGTTTACATAATTGGTTTCTATAGCCAAGTGCATAAATTAACATTTATCCCTTTCACATAGCAGAATTTAATAGTTTTTATTTGTAGTATCACTAAAATAAAATTTTAATGCCCTTATTAAAAGCAACAACATAATTTGATCTTTTCTGATGGTTCATGATCATCTTAAGGTTTCATTCTTGAACTTTGCTATATAATACAGCACGCACATTAGCTTTTGGATTTTCTGTCTTTTTACTCTTTGTCATCTATTGCTCCCTTCTGCTGTCAAGTATGTCTGCCTCTACAAGTTCTCCTCATTTCTCTTCAGAGGAGGTCTATCACAAAGTGGCTGTGTCCAGTGACTTGATTTGGCCCCAATCACACTTAAAGATAGAGTATCCCATACATGGCATACAAGGGTAAGGGGAGAAAAGGAAACATGAACTTCAAATAGCAGGCAAGGATTTTCTAATTCCAAGTAAGCTGACAGCAGTACAGAACAAAAAGTTACAGCTAAAATTGTCATTTCAAACAAGACTAATTCTCTGTGACTAGCACTTAGAAAATACTGAAGATTTGATTTTGTATTGATTAAGTTTTAATATACTGCATCATTAAGCTCCCTCATGGCAATTATATTATAGGACAGGACATTTGCTTGACATGCTTATGTCACTGATAGGAAATCATGACTTTGCCAAGTGCTGAGGAAAGGAGCTCTAAGACAGGCATAAATCACAGTACAGATGCTAGATCTAGATTACCTGATGTTCCCCAGGCACTGTCTCGCCATTGATCACCCAGGAATATTCCTTTTGGTCCATCTTTGCTGGATTCATCTGTTTCCCAAAACTTTTTACCTGGCAAGAGCTGCTGCAAATTAAAAATAATAGATGCTTTTAAAGAATTCATAAAGGATGAAAGTACAGCAGTCAACACTTTCTTTTAGACAGGGGTACTGAAGATGCTCACAGTCCCAAAAGGTCTTTAATCAAAGTGTTCTGACTACACACCTAGTCAGAGCACTATTATTTATTTGGTAAAAGACACAAAGAGGCCTTCGGCAAAGGGAAACACAGACTATCCAATAAAGGCTCACCAGACTCACCATACGTATCTAGAATTATTCACTTAACCTAAGCCAAGATTTTTAAGGAGGGAAGGGTACTAATGATAATTAACTGCTGTGCTAAAAAGACTTACTGAAAAAGTACCTACAACTAGTAAACACTTCTTCCTTTACATGCACTACTTACTTTACCAGAGTTATTCAAACTGAAACATGAGCTGAGCTATAAATCCTAACTATGGAGTGCTAGAAGCAAAAACAGCTTCCTTTATACACAAGAGATCCTATTAACCAGACACTTCTCTACCACAACACTAACCTATTTGCAAGATTTGGGGGAAGACCGAAAAGCCATTCGCTCATTACTAGAAAAGAAATAAAAAATCCTCCACTTATTTTAACAACACTTGGTAGTGCCACTAAAGTGACTTCACAAAATCATTCCATGTTTTAGAAATGCAGGCATCTAATCAATGAGAACATTAATTTCAACCAAAGAAATGATAAATATCCTTGCAGTAAAATGCTGTATATATAGTTTTGCACTAGCTCACAGTACCAATGGCTGTGGTTACAAAGGAAACTTCTGCGAGAACTTCATCATGTATGGTCTGGTTACCAGCTTTACTCACTAAAATGTCCCATCTTATTTCTTCTGTTTTCTTTGAAACAGCTATTACTCATACAGAAAAGTAAGGCATTTGAGACTGTATTTAAACACTACATTGGAGCATAAAAAGGCACAACTGAAGAACTGAATTTCTCACAGCCATAGGATAAAAACACCAGAAAACACAAGACATTTGCTCTCCTCCTAGACAATAGAAGTTTACTTTCCAGTTTGGAACCTGTATCCCAATAGTAATGAAAGGAAAACTAAACTTTGCCTACTAAAATGTGTCCTGACTTCCCAAACCTAATTTCTAAGTTTCTCAGAATATTTTAATGAACCCACAGAAACAGCTCTAGAAAGCTATCTCATGGACTACCAGGACCAGAGCAGTTCAATACATGCTTTTCAGGCCTTAATTTATTTTTTGAATCAAACAATATAATTAGCAAAATACCTTCCCTGACATTTAGCTGCACAGATACTAAGTTCCCAAAGATGATCCATTATAAGCAGCAGTCAACTCATAGTCAGGGACTCTGGTGTCTTACAAATTGCAGGGAATTGTGGAAGTGAAATAGGAGACAGCCAGACCAGAAGCAAGCAGTGGAGTCAGGAAGCACTGGACTAGAGCATGCTACTGTGCCCTACAAGATACTATTAACCACCCTTCAGTCTCATTCTCTTCCTACTGATGAAGGAAGTAATTTTCAGGTTGTGGTGATGATTAGAAACATTATCAATGAGTATCTATAATAAATGTGTGCCACAAAGAGAGCTGTCAATAAATGGATTCAGTAACATCATACTGTGGCAAAATAATTGTTGAACCATAAAAGGAATACCGAAAGTAATATAACTCATATAATATATAACTAATAATTCTTGTTTTCAGCCAGGTGCTAGTGTCTCATGACTGTAATACTAGTTGAGATCTAAGGACCATAGTTCAAAGCCAGCCCAGGCAGAGAAAAAAATCATCTGTTATCTCCAATTAACCAGCAAAAAGCTGGAAATGAAAGCTGTGGCAAGTGGTAGAGATCTAGCCTCGAGCAAGCTCAAGGACAGCACTCAAGCCTTGAGATGAAACCCCAGGACCAGCACCAAAAGAAAAAAAGACTCTTACTACAAGCCAATCATTTATTCCACTAAACAGATGCTAGCAGCAGCCCCAAAAGTGCCAGAACCCTGTATGTTTTCCCAAAGAAGTGGTGAGAAGATCAACTATTTATTATCAGTGAAGCCAGCAGGACTGAAAGGCCAAGTTCAGAACAGATAAAGAAAAGGGTGAAAGAGAAAGGTGACAACATGCTGATTAGGGACACGCATGAGTTAGTTCCAAAGTTCTCTGCAAACTGGGAAGGTAAAGAACTGAATCAAGTTACTGGGGCAGAGACAGGAACAAACTTGGCTGACCCCTTAACTGCCTACATGCCTTACACAGGACCAAGAACTTCTCTCTACTCCAAAACACACCTATCTACACACAAGTGTGGTAAAGATCTCATTCCTTTGACTGTAAGCAGGACCCAATGACTTGTTTCTAAAGAACAACATAAAGCATGTGATGGGATGTTACAGGAGTATGCTACAGAAGTACAGGGCAACTACTTTGCTTACATTTTTCTTTTACCCTCCAACTTACTCACTTTGAAGACAGGTGTTACACTAAGCCCATTTGGCAAGGAACCGAAAGATCTCTACACACCGTTCATTAGGAATGGAGTCCCTCAGTCTAACAGTGACTTTGGAAGCAGATCCTTCCCCACTCAACTTTGAGATGAGTATAATACCAGGAGAAATGCTGACTGCAGCTTGTGAGGTCCAGGGACACCATGCCTGGCTCCTATATATAGAAATTGTTGGGCTTAAACAACTGCAATCTTCATTATTACATAGTGTGCTCTATAGAGTAAGTAGCAAGTAACTAATATAATTGTCACTATTTGCACTTCTTTAGCTTGGTTTCCAGAAATACTTAAAAAAAAAAAAATACCAGGGCTTGAACTCAGGGCCTCACGCTCTTGCTTCACTTCTTCACTCAAGGTAGGAGCTCTACCACTTAAGCCAGGCTCCAGTTCCACTTCATGTTCTATTTCTCATATCTAAAACCAAGTAGTAAAAAAGTTAGGGCTGGGAAGGTGGCTCAGTGGGAGAGTGCTAGCCTTGAGCTGAAGAACGTAACAAGAAAGGGAGGGAGGGAGAGAGAAAGAGAAAAAGAGAAAGAGAGGGGGAGGGAGGGAAGAAAGGAAAGGAAGAAAAAGAAAAAATGAAGTTTTTCTAATTGAGAAATCAGTAATTACCAGTGTCAATTTCATGTTCTCCCCTATTTGTCTAAGAATTCTTCTATACTAATAGTGACAAGTGACTGGCTTTTAAAACTGTGCAAAATTAGGGGCTGGGAAGGTGGCTCAGTGGTAGAGTGCTTGCCTTGCATGCATGAGGCCCTGGGTTCGATTCCTCAGCACCACATAAGCAGAAAAGACTGGAAGTGGTGCTGTGGCTCAAATGGTAAAGCACTAGCCTTGAGCTGAAGAGCTGAGGGACAGTGCCCAGGCCCAGAGTTCAGGCACCATGACTGGCAAAAAAATAAAATAAAAATAAAAAATAAAAATAAATAAAACTGTGCAAAATTAAACCAACCTAGATGTGCAGTACTTATTGACAATCAACAACCATTATGTATATTTAAAAATCAATTACAATAAAGCTGGGTACTGGTGGCTCATATCTGTAATCCTAAACTACTCAGGAGGCTGAGACTTGAGGATTATAATTCAGAGCCTGCCTAGGCAGGAAAAGTCCAAGAGACTCTTACCTCGATTATGTGGCAGAATCCTAGCCTTGATCTCACCAAGGGCATCAAACACCACCACCACCAAGCCAACAGCCCCAGCTTAACAGTACTTTTTTTTTTAAGACAAAAAGCCACAGATAAAGGCTGACAAGACTCACTTTAAGAAAAGAGTAGCCTTGAACTGAAGAGCTGAGGGACAGCTCCCAGGCCCAGAGTTCAAGACCCACGACTGACCAAAAAAAAAAAAAAAAAGGAAAAAAAAAATTAGGCCGGGGGTGGGAAGGGGGCTCAGTAGCGCACTTGCCTTGCATGCCTGAGGCCCTGGGTTCGATTCCTCAGCACCACATAAGCAAAAAGAAAAAAAGCCAGAAGTGGCGCTGTAGCTCAAGTGGTAGAGCACTAGCCTTGAGCTGAAGAGCTGAGGGACAGCACCCAGACCCAAAAAAAAAAAAAAGAAAAGAAAAGAAAAAAAGAAAAGATTAGGCAATTAAAAGGATTAAAAGATTTGACCACTGTGGCTCATGCCTGTAATCCTAGCTACTCAGGAGGCTGAGATCTGAGGATCGAGGTTCAAAGCCAGCCAGGGCAGGAGAGACCATGAGACTCCTATCTCCAATAAACCACCAGAAAACCGGAAGTGGTGCTGTGGCTCAAGTGATAGAGCGCTAGCCTTGAGCTCAAGAGCGCAGGGACAGCACTCAAGCCCAGAGTTCAAGCCCCACGACCGACCAAAAAAAAAAAAAAAAAGACTTGACCATTCTAAAGGAAGTTAACAAGTGGGAACTGATCCAATCAAAGCAAAGGAGATGGATAGTCCATAAATAAGGCCATAAAAGCAAGCAGTGACTAACTTAGCCTTATCATACTGACACTAAGTTATCCTCAGGCTCTAATACTTCTAACACTAACCAACTTCTTAGAAGAACTGACTTCCTCTGATGGTCAAGCATGTTGACACCATTGAACACAATCCTGCCCACCTGAGATATTATTTCAGCCTCATAATCACATCACTTCTGAATTAGTATTAAATGTCTGTTGCAAGACCTACAAAGTGAGAAGAAAAGCTTGGGAGTCCTACCATCCCTGGAAATAAAAGAGACCTTATCTTTCCTTGTAATGTCCCATTAAATGATGCTCCAACAGAACATCACAAGTACCACGCCTATGTCTTTGCAGAAACTGCAAAGTAGGGGACTATTAAAGACTAAACTTGCCTGACCATACCAATACCAATATTTGCATAGGAAAGTATCAATGCAGTTTTCTGATGGTTTTGACACCAAATGGGTGTCAAAACTGCTCTACTCAAAAGACTTTAGTTAAGTGCTTACACATGCAACACAGGCTGCCAGAACTCTCAAGAGCAAAAACTTGGTTTGTTAAGCAGTAATACA